GTTGAATTGACAACTGTGAAAACGCAATAATAACAGTTAATAAGAGTGGGCTGGAATTGATTTCACACGTGACTTGCCAACCAGGGTAGCATGCGACTAGGGAGTCAAAAGTGTTCACAAAAGGAAAGAACTTCCAATGTCAGCACTGTCTTGGGAGTGGTGTTATATGATAACAATTTACCCCAAAACCCAGTATGTAGTGTTTAGTCAGAGCCCTGCTGGCTCAGTGGGTTATAGGTTGGGCTGCCAATGGAGATGTTAGCAGTTTGAAACCACCCTGGAAAAAAAGACAAGGCTTTCTCTTCCTGTAAAGAGTGACAGTCTCAGAAACCCACAGGGGCAGTGCTACCCTGTCCTCACAGGGTCACTGTGAGTCAGGATCAATTCAATGGCAGTGAGTTTTTGAGTTTGAGCATTTAGTCTGATTTGGAAGTTTCTGCTTTCTTGAAACTGACTGCACATAAAAATTTCTTCAAAAGAGCCCGGTGCCTAGGCAAACATTTCTTTACTAATTCATTTAGGCTAATGTTTCACGTACATGTGACCTTAGGAAACCAGCTCCCTCAAGACTTAACAGATCTTAAACAAGGATCTGGGTGGGTCTCCTCAACTTCTACACACCCCAGAAATCTGGGCCCCAGAGAATTCAATTAAAAAGCGGACCGTGTGGGAGGGAAATTTCAGAATTTTTCTCAGAATGTGACCCATCACCAGCAGTCTGCTAGAGATTGCAAATACAAAAAGAAACCTGAACCTTTGAGCCTTTCTTTAGCGAAAAGGAGACTTGCTAACACAATGGTTAAGCCCTCAGCGAGTGGTCCGAGGTTCTAACCCACTAGTCACTCCCGGGGAGGAAAAAAAACAACCCAAAACTGATGCTCTGTTCCTGTAAAGAGTTAAAACACCAAACTCACTGCCACCAAGCCCATCCTGATTCACAGCAACCCTGTTGGACAGAGTAGGAGCTCCCCTCTTGGCTTCCAGAGGATAAATCTTTACAGGAGTGGAAAGCACCATCTGCCTCCTGTGGCACAGCTGGTGGTTTTGAACTGCTGACGTTGCATTTTGCAGCCCAGTATGTAACTACTGCACCACCAGCGCTCTTTATATCTACAGGTAGATGGGGCTGGGATTCCAACACCTATCTGGGGAAGATGGTAAGGGGTGAGGAATAACACAGTTCAAAGCTTTAAGACCACCCTCCTGGGCCTGACCTTCGCAGATTTTGCCGTGCAAATCCTTGGCTGAACTCTCCAAGAACGTCCTACTGTCGCATCCGCTCTCTGGCTTTTCCCAAAGAGGGAGTGGCAGCATTCCCACTTTACCCAGGAAGAAATGAGGTGTGGAGAGGGAGCCTGGCTTGTGTGAGGTTTCATGGGGGCACTGGATCATCTCCTCTGACCTCTTCCTGATGTCCTAGTGTTCCCAGGGCCCGAGGCTGGGACACACGGAATACCCTGCGGCCGGGACGCAGAGATGTTGGCAGCTGGCTGGCTCTGGCAAGTGGTTTTCCTCTCAGACAGTCGTTTTCCGATCTGGAAATGAAGGGGGTGTGGAGTAGTGGGCCGTTAACGGCTCTTCATGCCCTCTGAAACACTGGGTCTAAATCATGAATTCAGCTTATTGGAAAGGCCTCTTCTGGGCCGCTCTGGGTGCCATCAAAGGCTCTTTATCTCGAACCCCCTCTGAGCATCTAGTCCCGGAAGACATTAAAAAGCTCTCCACACACACATGCACTCACGAGTACGTATACCAGCTCTCAGAGCAGAGAATATTTCCCCCAAAGAAACCCAGAGGCCCCTGCACTGGGCCGTCTCCTTGGAAAGGGGCCCGTCCAGGCGGACCTGGGCTGCAGCCAGCAGCCAGTTTCCAGCAACACGGCCAAAGGAAAATGCTTCGAGGCTGTAGTAGAAGGTGAGGGGCCTCAGCCCTCCCTCCCGGTGTCACCTGACCTCCTGCAACTCATTCAGCCCGGCTTCTCTGCCAGCTCTGGGGTGCCCTTAGCCTCTGCCTCCACTGCTCTCCAGCCCTGGGGAAACCCAGAGAGGCTCTTGGCCAGACCCTGGGTTGTAGTGCTAACTGGGAGGCCCCAGATGGCAGGGTGGGGGGAGTTTCCCCTTCCTGGTGAGAGCTGCACTTTTGTTACCAAGAGGCCGCTGGTTGTCAGGGAAACAGCAAGGTTTCCTGGAGCTGATGAGCTGCGGTTGCATCTGCTTTCTGTCCTCCGCCCCTCGGCCTAGCCCTCTGTGCACTCTTGTCTCTGTCTGAGGATCTCCACTCGGGCAGTGGGGGGTGGGGGGGAACACAGCAAAGCCCCAAGCCCCTTCCTGAGAACATCCCACCAAGACAGCTGATTGGGAACGTAATCATGCCTAAATGCCCTGCCTGGCACAAAAAAGATTACCACACTCAGCTGGTCTCTGAAAGGTTGGAGACTTGAGTCTGCCCAGAGGTGCCTTGGAAGAAAGGCCTGGCGATCGCCCTGCGAAAAGGCCAGCCGTGGAAAGCCATCTGGAGCACAGTTCCTCTGTAAGAAGCGTGGGCTCTGCAGGGGTTGGGGCTCACTGACGGATTTCATGCCTGGCTTTGTGGATTCTGCCTTTGTCATCAGTCAGATCCTGACCTTCAACAGCCCAGCAGAGTGGGCAAGAGAGACCCTCCCTGCTTTTGTGTTTGAGAAAACCTTCATCTGACCAAGGTCATAACAGTTCATCAACTGCAAACCACGGACTTGATTCCACTTCTGACTGCCTTGACTTCCAAACCTGCATATTGCCCCCTCACCAGTGACCTTGGCCTTGATTATCGAGTGCTAAGGTGACAGAAATGCCACAACCGGGTGGCTGTAGCATATCCATGTGTGTTCCCATGACTCACCCACCCAGACTCTGACGTGAACAGATTTCAGCTCACGGTGACCTTGCACTAACACGATTCATGAGCATAACAAAGGAAACCCATTGCCAAATGGGATTATAACCACATGTCAGCCCATTACATTGAATAAATGCAGAGTGACCTTTTACGACAGAGTAGAGCTGCCCTGTAAGAAGCCCTGGTGGTGGACAGCTGCAGACTGCAAGGTCAGCCGTTGAAAATTGGCAGCTGCTCCTCGGGGAAAGATGAGACTTTCTACTCCCATAAAGAGTTAGAGTCCCATAAACCCACAGGGCAGTTCTCCCCTTTCCTGCAAAGTCGCGAGTCAGAATCGACTCGATGGCCGTGAGTCTTTTTTTAGAGAACTCACCTGTCGGGCTTCCGAGACGGCCCTCTTTGAGGAGGCAGGCTGTCACGTCTCTCCTTCAGAGCAGCTGGTGGGTTCGAATCTCTGACCTTCCAGCCAGCAGCCACGTGTCTAATCACTGCCCCACTAGGTTCCTAGACCACAGGAGTAAGCCAACACGTTTCCACCAGGACTCCTTGATGCAGATCCATACATGCTGCAGATTAAACAGGCTTCCGTCACCTGCCCACCTGGGGTAGGAGTGGTGTCACTCACACCACCAGGCATATGACCCTGGACCATTTCTGCCATTCATCTGTCTGCCATTGAGGGAACCCCAGGCAAGTTCCTTGGGGGCAAGGCTGCCCCTCCCTGGGCTGGCCAAACTAACCTGACTGCCAGCGAGTGCATTCTGGTTCCTGGCCACCCTATATGCGGTTTCCAAGGCTGTCAGTCTTACGGGAGCAGTTAGCCCCAACTTTTTCCCTCGGAGTGGCTGGTGGGCTTGAACCACGGATCCACTGGTTAGCAGCCCAACACTGACCTGGGTTGGCCAGGGAAGTTTTAAATTACCTTCTAACTCTACCTGAGGGCAGAGCTGCTCCACTGCTGGTTACTGGTCACGAAGAACTCAACAAGAGGCAGAACTTGTGTCAAGACTCAAGATGGAGCGAGGGCAC